GTTTTGTGTTAGATGCCAACAAGAAAATATGTGATGTCTGTTTAAATTTTACGTATTTAACTGAAACATATATCTGTGATTGTTTTATTTACGCGTGTGAATTTAGAAGTTCTATTTATCATTCTCATAGATTATGCGGTGATTGCTATGTTGGGTTGGTTGGTAGACCAAAATTTACTACCGAAAATTTTATTTTTTACTTTTAGTATTTTATTATTCGTTGATAAAATTTAAATTAGCTGAAATGTAAACTGAATATAAGTTATCAATATATTTAAATAAATCATTTTTACATGAACATGAATCAATTTTAAATTTAATTTGTTGTAAGTAAATGTATTTTTGCAATAAAATTTCTCCTCCAAAATCGTTTACAATATTATTGAGAAGCCTTTCAAACATTTTTTTTTCTTTGTTTGTGATTATTTCTTCTTCTATAAAAGAATTTACGGAAATAGTTGCTTTTCCAGTTTCTTTATTATATGGAACGTAAAGATAGTAATTTTTGTAGAATTCACGGTGAATTTTTGAGATTAAAGCCTTTTCCTTTAGCTTTTCAATTTCGATTTCTTTCAAAATTATTTCCATGTTTTTTTTTAATTGAAAATATTTCGTTTATTTTATATAAAATTACCAATGTAGATGATCAATTAGTCTAAATTTGGTAATTTAAAATATATAAAAAAAGAAGATTAAATCTTCTTTCAGTATCAAATTTGATACCGAGAGGAAAACAATTTATTCAATTTATTTCTATTAAAATGGAACATAAACAACCGATTACTTTTCATCAAATGATCGATGAGAATATAAATTATCTTTCTGTTAATCGTCATATTGGAAAGCGCGATTTTCGTATCAAAGAATACAAGAATGTGTTAGCTGAAACACTTTATCTAACTTTTACGAAGCATCAACACTTAAAATTCAAGGAGCTTATGTATACGCTTCACGGAAAATTTCCAGAGATGTATCAAGAAAAGTACATGGTTTTTGACGATATTTCATCTCCATTTATTGTTAATTATACATATGAGCAGATGGATGTGATTGTCGAATACAGGTTAAAACTTGAACAAGAATTTATGAAATATCAAAAATATTTTTATTCTCTATTTGTTAATAATAATATTACAAAATAGTAAATTCAAGTATCTGAATAATTTTCTTTTAGAGGATTTTTCAATTTTTTTTTCAATTCCATTTATAATTTTAAGTATTTTCAACGATGTTTTACCAAATTTTTCTTCTTGATATTCAATTACATGTTTCAATAAATTCTTGAAAAAGATTTTTTCATCTTTTGTAAGCAGATTGTATTCTTCACCAACAGGAACGTGAAAGTAGTAATGTTTGGTAAATGTACGAAAGATTGACGCGAATATAAATTTATCGATATCATCGGTGACAAAATCTTCGATGGTACTGTCTAAAAATTCAAAGAGTTCTTCTTTGTAAGAGGTGTTGATTTTACTCTCGATTTCATCGAAAAGATCTTGATGTTTTTTGATGATTTTTTCGCAGATTCTTTTATTGGCTTCTTCGATCGCGTTGTTTAACGTGAGTTTGAACATGGTTTTTTCTTCGTTATCGATGATTTCTTTGTTCGTGATTTTACCGATTTTGATAACCGCCTTCTTGGTTGTTTCACTATACGTGATGAGATAGTAGTAATTTCTGTAGAGTTCGCTGTATATCAGCGATTTCAGGATTTTTTCATCTTTTTCTTGGTTTATTTTCTTTGCTGTTTGTTGTAATTTTTAACGCGCCTATATATAATTTTAAAAATTACCATTTGTGTGAATCTATATTTGGAAATTAAATAGTCAACTATTCGAATCTAAGATATTCACGGAGGTATTCATGATTTCTCTTCAATTAATATATACGTTTTTTTTCAAAATTACCGATGAATTTCAATCAATCAGGAGACCACTTTCTTACAATGATATTTGTCTATGAAATTTAGAGATATTCAAGTTTTACATTCGTTTTGGTAAGACGTTTCTACGTTTTGACGAAAAGACGAAAAACATGATACTCATCCTGATTTTACAAGTTCGGTCTAAACACATTACTGTACATTGATGACGAATTTTCTTTCAAGAAAATATGAATAATTATTTATTAATAAATATAGAATGAAAATCAAAATTAAATTTCCATCGATAAGATAGTATCATTATTTTTAACAATTTTAAAGTAAATAGTATTTTGAGTTAAAGTAAAACAATTTAATCCATCATTATCTCTGTTTAAATTAAATTCTTTAAAATTTTCTTGACTTTCAGTTTGGTAAAAACATTGATATCCTTCTAGATTAATAACACCATCTTGAAAGATATAGATTCTTCTTATGTATTTGCTTGTTATTTTAATAAAGAATCCGAAACCTTGACCTTTGATGTTGTATTTTAATTCTACGCTAAGAATTTATTGTTTTTAATATCATTTTATTTTAAAATAATTTTAATTATTGAAAATACCTTTGTGAAGAATATAAATTTTCGAATAAGTTC